TCCCACAAGGAGTATGAGACCTTCAAGTTTGGCAACGGTGGAACCCAAGTCAGTGTTGCACGGTGGCGGCTCCCCATGCAGTTAGATGGCTCCATCATTTGTTTTTGGACTGCATTGGTGCCGGTTCCTTCACTGGGGTTGCTTTTAGGTCGTGATTTTCTAGAAGCAATTGGAGCTGACATGCATTTTGCCCATCGCACCCTTCGATGTGAACACCTCACGGGCAAGCCGATTTCCTTGAAGCAGCTGGCTGCAGGTCATTTCCTCCTGCCATTGGTGCCAGCAACCTGGTCAGGTGTGGGGCCACAGCGTTGGAAGCGTTTGGGAGTTGATGGTGTTTTGGAACTGCAGTTGAGTCCTGTTCAATGGCTTCAAAAGAAACTGTCTTTTGGTTCATCTTTGAAGAGCAGTTCACATGACCACCTCCTGACAGAGCAGAGCGTTCGTGTGGGCCATTTGGTTTGCGCAGTTCTTCGCTCACCTGATGTTTTTGGCTCATCGGTTCAAGCTCAAGGTGCGTCCATGAAGCCGGAAGGGACGACCGATCGAAATTCGAGTTCCTCTTCCTTGACCACTTCACCCTCCAATGTTCGGCGGATGGATGACTGCAGGCAACCTCTTGGGAGGCGAGAGCGCCAACATGGACGTGAAGGTCGGAAGATGGAAGCGGATGTTCCTCCGCATGGGAGAAAGGTTTCGCTGGGCAGCAAAAGGATTGCTCCTTTGGCTTTTGCAAAGGCCCTACTTGCGATATCTGCCATTGCCCTATCCCTCGACTACCACGACAGCAGCTTGGTTGGCTCAGGTGTGCAAGCAGGTTTCAGATGGAACCATCCCTCCGAGGTACCTCAAGAACTGCCTGGAGAAGAACCTGTTCACCATGAGCAATTTGGCAGAATGTCGGCACCTTCGCAACCGGGTGGGGCTCAGGACATCGTTCATCGAAGATCCCGTCCTGGCAGGAATGATGGCAGCGCAGACGACCAAGGGCATCACAGCCAAACTGAGGAGTGCTGCTCAGAAGGAAGCCAAAGAGCTGGCCAAGAAAGCAGAAGCAGACGGAAGTCGAGAACAAGAGGCTCGGGCACTCATTGGCTCACGAGGAGGTCTTCCTACCCTCCGAGCAGATCTGGTGAAGTTGGCTGCTTTGCTTCATGTGGATCTGGGCGAGAAAGACTCCGTGGCTCAGATCAAGGAAAAGGTGAAGCCTATGATCGAGATCCTCAAGAACAAGAAGCCAGCGATAAGCCCAGCAAAGGCCAACACGGCCGAAGAGATTTCAGCGAGCTCTTCTTCACCGCCCGCCAGGCTGTTCAACGACAACCCCAAGAACCTGGCAGTTCAGCAACAAGAGATGAGGGCTATGATGGAGCAGATGTCTCGCGAGCTGGCATTGCTGCGCTCACAAGTGACTCCGGAAATGGAGGTGGATCTCAGCTCAGAGCCAAGTCTGATCCCAGACTCGCCACAGGATGCCTCACCCGTGAACTTCACCGAGGCCGAGATTCGGGAATTGAATGGTCAGGCCTACGAGGAGCTGTACGGAGCCAATTTGACCGCTCAGTTCGGGGACGACATTCCGGCCGAAGTGATGCAGGAGATCCGTCTGGGTCTCAGGGATGGAGCAGGGATGTGAGTCGCCCTCATGAATTCAGACTTCACCAAGATCTGAAACCTGGTCAAGCTCTACTGGTCGCTCAAGCCTGGAGTCAGCATGAACAAGATCGAAAGAAAGTGTCACAATCTCCAAGGCAGATGAAAGAGTTGCTGGTGGCTGACCATGAACAGGAGATGTTGGACTTCATGACCGAAGAGACCTTCTTCCAACCGTTTGAATTGTGTCTTCCGGATGACAAGGTTCTTGCCGGTTTTGAGGCCCTTCAGAATGAGAGCCAGCCCAAGAATGTCTTGATTTCCAAGAATGTCAAGCCCCCTGACAAGGAGCGGTCCCTTGTGTCTGAGGTCTACACCACTTCGCAGAATGTCATGCGAGAGGCTGAACGAAGAGGCCACAAGGTGGGTCCGGCTATGTCGTTGGACAATGGATGGAACTTCCTTTTGGCGGAGCACCGAAGCCGGGCTATGAAGGTTTTGGAGGAGGAGAAGCCTTACTGCGTGGCGCTTGCTTTTCCATGTGGGCCTTTCAGTCCACTACAGTACCTCAACACTCGAGGATTGACTTCCTTGGATCAACGTCAAGCGGACGGTTTGGTCCTGATGGAGTTTGCGATTGAAGTCGCAAAGCTACAGATGAAAGGTGGTCGACACTTCATCATGGAGAACCCGCTCCCGAGTTTAGCATGGAAGACACTCCCCATGCAGAAGTTCATCGAGGAGCACAATGTGGAGATAGCAGTGTTTGATCAATGCCGGTTCAACCTTCGCAGTCTTTCAGGCGAGTTGCATAGAAAATCCACACAGCTGGTGAGTTCAAGCCCCAGGGTGATTGCTTTGTTGGATGGCCTTCGTTGCAAGCGTGACCACAGCCATCAACCTGTCCTGGGAGGCTCCAAGATTACAGCTCATGCGGGCATCTACCCAAAGCCGCTGGCACGCGCCTTGGTGAAGGGGATCATGGAGCAGTTCGATTTGGACTTCCGGCCTAAGGAGGCCCTAGCAGCTCAGACGGGAGAAGCGGAGGAGGACTTTGGTGATGGCCTACTTGCTTTGGGCGCTGAAGAGATTTCTGATGAAGAAGTTGGCGATTCCCCTCAGACTGACCTCAAGATCAGTCCTTCCTTGAAGAATGCCATCAAGCGCCTACATGAGAATACTGGCCACAGAAGCAATCGTCGCTTGGCGCGAGCTCTTGCAGTTGCAGGTGCTCCTGTGGAAGCTATAGCTGCTGCCAAAGCTCACAAGTGCTCTCTTTGCCAAGAACGTGCACCTCCGAAAGTCAGGAGACCAGCATCACTGCCGACTCCAAAGGACATTTCAGATCAGGTTCACGTAGACCTGCTGGAGATAGAAGATGCTGCAGAAACACGTTTCTATGTTGCCCATGCCACGGACTTTGCAACACGTTTCCAGGTTGCTGAGGTTTTGGCGGACAAGTCCTCCAAGTCAGTGATTCAGTTCTTGACTTCAAGATGG